GTTTAGATCAATGATTTGCCATAGTAATTCCTCAGCAATTGTTGTTATTGATTATTGTTATTATTACAAATCAGAAAATAGGCTCAGGAGGATTACTCTGTTGTTAAGTGGGAAAACTGGAAATTGAAATCTGATACACTGTGCCCTGGTCTGGTTTTTTTTTTCCATTTTTTAAAATTGTGATAAAATATATATAACATAAAATTTGCCATTTTAACCATTTTTAAAGTATACAATTCAGTGGTCTTAATTATATTCACAATGTTGTACAGCCATCACCACTATCTATTCCAAAACTTTTTCGTCACCCCAAACAGAAACTCTGTAACCATCAAACACTAACTTTCCATTCCTCCCTTCTCCCAGGCCCGCGTAACTTCTAGTCTACTTTCTGTCTCTGTGAATTTGACCATTGTAGATATTTCATGCAAGTGGAATCATATAGTATTTGTCCTTTTGTATCTGGCTTATATCCCATAGCCTAATGTCTTCAAAGTTCATCCATGTTGTAGCGTATACCATAACTTCATTCCTTTTTATGGCTGAATAAATTTCATCGTATGGTTGTACCACATTTTGTTTATCCATTCATCTGTTGATAGGCAGTTGGGTTGTTTCCACCTTTTGAGTACTATGAATAATGCAGCAGTGAACGTTGATGTACAAGGTTCTGTTTAAGTCTCTGTTTTCAATTCATTTGGGTATATACCTGGGAATGGAATGCTGGGTCATCTATGTTCAGCTTTTTGAGGAGCTGCCAAACTGTTTTCCACAGCAGCTGCATCATTTTATATTCCCATCAGAAATGTATAAGTGTTCCAGTTTCTCCACATCTTCACCAACACTTATTTCCTTTTTTTTTTTTAAATTATAGCCATCCTAGAAGAAATGAAGTGATGTCTCATTGTGGTTTTGATTTACATTTCCCTAATGACTAATGATGTTGAGCATCTTTTCATAGTCTTATTGGCCATTTGTATATCTTCTTTGGAGAAATGTCTATTCAGGTCCTTTGCCCATTTTCTAATCGAGTTGTCCTTTTGTTCTTGAGTTGTAGGAGTTGTATATATACTGGATATTAACCCCTATCAGATATATGATTTGCAAATATTTTCTCCCACTCCGTAGATTGTCTTTTAACTTTCATAATAATTTCTTTGCACAAAAGTTAAATTTTGATGAAGTCTATTTTATCAATTTTTTCTTTTGTTGCTTGTGCTATTGGTGTTTTATATCTAAGAATCCACTGTCAAATCCAAGGTCATAAAGATTTACCGCTATGCTTTCTTCTAAGAGTTTTATTGTTTTAACTCTCATATTTTTATGGTCATTGATCCATTTTGATTCAGTTTTTGCATATGATTTGAGGTGAGGGGTCCAATTTCATTCTTTTACACATGGAAATTCGGTTGTCCCAACACCATCTGTTGAAGAGACTATCCTTTACCCACTGAATGGACTTGACACTCTTGTCAAAAAGCAATTGGCCATATATATATATGTGTGTGGGTTTATTTCTGGACTCTCAGTTCTGTTCCATTCGTCTGTATGTCTGTTCTTATGACAGTACCACCCTGTTTTGATTACTATAGCTTTGTGGTAAGTTTTGAAATCAGGAAGTATGAGTCTTCTACTTTTGTGCTTTTTCAGGATTGTTTTGGCTGCTTGGGGCCCCTTGCGTTTCCATATGAATTGGAGGATTGGCTTCTCCATTTCTGAAAAAGCCATGTTGCTTTTTATAATCACCTACTAAATGTGATAACTTCAAATGTCTTTACATATCTGTGGTCAAAAATTTAAGTTTCTGATCACCTAAGAATTTTTTGCTAATTGTCTACTTAGTCTATTTAGAAAAGAAGTCACAAAAACTGTAATTTGGAATAGAATTATTTCCTGAGTTTGTTCACTTCTTCTCCAATAGAAAAAAAAAAATAGGAAATTTTTTGTGGCTTCATGAGTAACTTGTCTTCTTATCAGTTTAGGATCAGTTTCATTGAAGTAATGCTAAAATGGATGTGAGACAGAGCCTGCTGCCAGCGTGGTTATTATTTAAGTATTTGATTTATTTTAAATATTCATTGCTATATGTGTTTGGATGCAAAGCTAGCTTAAGTAAAGGAAATATTGTATCATCAGGAGTTCTAATCAAAATGGCAGGCTGAACCAACACAGAAAGTCCTCCCTTCTGCTCCAAACCCAAGAGATGCTGGAGAAAAATAGAGTAACAACAATAACAAAAATAACCCAGCTCAAAAGAATGAAAAGGAAATCCCCAGGTGCTAAAAATGAAAAGGAGCTCAAAGCCAGAGCACGGAATGATGACTGAAACCAATGAGGTCCGCAGGCCCACTGGGTAGACTTCCATGGGCTGTGGCGTGAGGCCTTAGACCCCCGGGATGGCAGCATGGCTGGAGTAGAGGCTCTTGTATAAAGCCAGACTGCTCCAAAAGCTGTGAGGCAGAGATTAGAAAACGCTCATTCACTGTCTAGGGAGAGCGGCAAGAAAGTCTACTGTTTGTTTGAGTTCCTATAAAATAATAATTAAAAGAAAAGGAATAATCTAGAATTGGCAACCCAAGCTTATACCATGTGTAAGTACGAGGAGTGAGTTTACACTGCCTCCAGTGAGGTAGAAACTATTTTTCCAAGCTAAGAAATTAACATTAAAAATTGGTCTGGTCTCGAATTATACAAAGAAACGTAAGTCCAGCTACATGTCATTATTAATAAAACTACATAGAAAACTAAAAACTACATAGAAATTAAAATAAAAGGATGGGGTAAAAGAGCAGATAAATATTAGGTTGAATTTTGTTGATATTCAGCTGTTTTACTCACAAAAATGGCAACTTGATATGATTGAACTGATAATAATCAAAAGAGCACTAGTAGAGCAATTTTAATATCAGATTTTTGAGGCAAGAGCAGAACTAGCAATAAAGAGAGATTCAAGAACAGTCAACCAAGAAGATAAAGTAATGATCTTGACTGTGCTTATCAATATAATCTCAAAATATATATAACAAAAACTGTGTTACAGGGCGAAATTGACAAATCTATAATGATAGAGGTATTTAAAAATTGCACTATGGTAAGTTATTAGACAAAAAATAAGATGGAGAAGATTTGAACAACAAAATAGACGTAGAATCCTATTCAGCAAATAGTGATATATATTCTTTTAAAATACATACCAAATTTTTTCCTAAATTTACTATAATAGGCCACAAAAGAAATCTCAGCAAATACCAAAGAACTGATATCGTACAGACCCCATTCTCTTATGACAGTGTAATAAATTTACAAATCAACAAAAGCATAGACTGAAGACTCCATATGTTTGGAAGCAAAAAAGAACACTTCTGAATGATTCATTTGGAAGGAAATCACAACAGAGGAAATTTGTTTCCAGCAGTGTAGCAGACTGGACCCTCCGTAAACAACTAAGAAACTTGTATAAAATGTGCAGTACATATTTTAGCTACATTAGTGTGCCAGGAAGAAAATAAAGAATTAAAGAATACTCAGAGGCCAACAACCACAGGAAACTCTTAAGAGATAAGTCTTGAGGGTATTTGCTGAACCCAGGGTTCTTGTACTTCTATTTTTGTGGGTTACAGGGTGCAGGGATAAAAGCAAGACCCAGGGCCCTGTCCAAGATAGGGCCTCTAACAGGAGACACTCCTGTAAATCTAGAACATCCAAAGGACTTCACCCTTGGAGTAAGAGAGAACTAGAAATAAACTCTAGCACAGAGTGGTGGTGAATCATTAGTGGGTTGTGAAATCAATTATGCGGTCACTGTCAGCATTTTTTTTTTTTTGAATATCAAATGTAGTAATGCTTCATGTAATTTTTGTTTCAATTTTTGAGTGTTAGTGTGTATATGTATATGAATGTGCGGATGAGTACACTTGATTACATTGTTATTTTTTGCATTTCGTCAGTCATGGTCAAAAAAATTTGAAAGCTGCTGCCTTAGAGAAAGCATGGCATGTGTGCACAAAGAGATATGTACAGCTACTCATTTCAGCATTGTTTATAATAGCAAAATAGTGGAAGCAACCTAAGATTCTATCAGTAGTAGAAAGGATAAATAAATGTTATTGTTATACAATGGAACATTATTCATCAGATAAAAAGAGTTAATTACATTATTAGAGATAAATCACAAAACATAATATTGAGTGGCAGAAACAAGTTGCAGAATGATAGGTAAGTATAATTGTTATGTTATAAATAATAATAATATAATCTGCTATTTGGGAAAGAGATACCCACTTCAGTATACCAACTTCTGAAGACAGAAAGAATGGAATGGGATTGGAGCAGTGTTCCAAAGGATGGTACAAGCTCTCCAACTTGGTGTGCGCACATGTGTGCAAGTGTTTCCCTTAAAAAAAATTGTAAGTGAATATGACAAAAGGTTAACATGGGTGATAGACACTTAGGTATTGGTTATATTATTTCTTGTACTCTTCTGGTGTTTGTGATATTTGATTTTTTTTTTTTAATTGTATCATGCCATATGTAGACAACTGTTGTGGTTTTCTTATAGGGAGAATCTTTAGGGAGTGGATGATGTCGGAATTAAATTTTTAGGTGTTCTTTAGAAGAGCACATTCATTTATGTTATTATGTAGTAGTCAAGCTGAGAAGGAAAAGGTATGGGAAAGGTGTTAACTATAAAATCTTAAGTATGAGGATATTTTATTTAGTACATAAAAAGGGAATATACAGTAATTCAGTACCTTGAAATCCATAAGAAGTAGCCAAAAATGAATCTTATTGAATTAGAAGCCCTGAGGAAGAAAGGAAAAAGTTCTGTCTCTGAGTGTTGCATTCAGGGAAAGCAAACTACCACCCACTGAATAAAAGTTAAAACTTAACATTATATTATTAAAATTGTAAGTTGTTGCTTACCGTGAGGCAACAAAACAAAAAAATATATAATGTATCATTTTGTCATTTACATTTTTTTGTTTGTTTGTTCTACTTAGCTGGTCACCTGACTTTTGAATGCCGCAATTTTCTCCGAGTAGACCCGAAAAGGGACATAGTTTTGGATGTCAGCAGCACAAGCAGTGAAGAGAGTGATGAAGAGAATGAAGAACTGAACAAATTGCAGGCATTACAAGAAAAAAGTAAGCAATACTTTTTTTCCTTTCATCCTTTAAAAATATTTCTAAATGTTCTGCTGTATTATGTCATGTTTATCGATTGTTCTATTATATTTATCATTAAGATCTCTTTTGTATTTTCTGTAAGAGGTAATACGTAGGTAAGGAAATAGGCTTTGAATGTTGTAAGTAATTTTCCCAAAATCAAACAGCTGATCAGTGATAGAACCAGGACCAGGAGGCAAGTCTATTTCTGATTCCACAAGCCAGTTTTTGTTGTTGCTGTTGCTGTTTTTCCATCACTCTAGGGTTGTCACATGGTACAAAGGGTCTGATTTAAGACTTTGTTTCTAGCCCTGTTTGGCCATTTTTTAGCATATGACTTGCAGCAAGTCACTTAACCACTCTTAACTTCAATTTCCTCGTGGGATAACACAAAGGATCGGATTGTCAAATCACACTAATTCAAATCAGAGATCTTAGCCAGTCTCAAGCTTTAATAATAATTTCAAGTATATAAATGATCATGAGGCATAGGCAAAGCAGCAAGAGTTCTGGGACAGCCAGTACAGCTCCCCAGGTATTTTCTTTCTACTTCAGAACCTACTCTGGCCAAGATTAGCGTGAGAGGTTTCTACATTAGTTACATAAAAGAAAGTCATTTTAGTCATGAAACATCTCAATTTTATGTCTGGATAGTTACATTTTCCAGGGAACCTTGCCCCATAAATCCATAGATTCCAGGATTATTTACCATAAACAATCTTAGACAAACCAAGTATATCCTGCTATAAGTAGTCTATAAATAAGGATTCTCTCACCAACAGCTTGATCATGGACTTCTCACTTTCAGAATTGTGAGAAAATAGATTTCTGTTATTTAAGCCACCCTTCCCTTCACTGCCCACCCCCCCCCCCAAAAAAATAGGGATTCTTCAGCTAGCAAATACCATTAATTTGTTTCCAGGAGGTCTGTGATTAGCATGTTTACAAAGAGATTTGACCAAGTTACCTTCTTTCTTTCCTGGGGGCATCCTTGTCTCCCCTCAAAGAGAAAATAGATGACAGACCTACTGTTTAACCATTTTTTTCCCATCTTGTACATAAAATGGCCTATCCTTGCAGTGGGGTTTTTAGGGATAAAATGTGATGCTGTATGTGAAAATACTTTGTAAACTACAAAATGCCACATGGTAGATGTCACACAGAAGCAAAATGCAACTTATTTTAATGTGAGTTTAGCCATGGAGTGAGAGAGATACAAAGAAGATTAAACTTATTTTAGGTCATCAGAGAACAATAACCCTTAAAAATTTTTTAGGTTTTCCATATTATATCCAATGAAGGTAAATATGGAAGTCAATTGCCAGGGTACTAGAATAAACTGAGAAGGCAAAAGAGGGAGGGAGTCCCAAAGAGGTCAAGTAAGAGTTACATTACATATGAGTATATACAGCTTCAGGGTAAAGATAACTGCTTGAATATACACCCTTATTTTTGCTCCCTACTAAAACACCACTGAAATGTAGTAGAATTTTTTTTTAAGACATAAATCCACAAGGAGAAAGAAAATGGGATAGGAAGCAATAGTAATAAAATCTTGCTAAAAGGCAGATGGGTTAGTGATAACGGACTGCACTTGAGAAAGCTCAATCCTTTAACAGTGTGGAAGGCTGAGAATTAGCTTGACATACACTTTAAAACTCTCTAGAGACTTGCTAATGAGTATTCTTAGGTACCTCTGTAAGTGAGGATGCATGTAAGGCTAAAAACAAAGACATTGATTAAAAATCTGAAGTAATTAGATGCTTGATTTCCTTCCCCTACTCTGTGAAGCCAGATGGCTTCCTTCCATCACCTCAGCAGACTACTGTAGGTCTATTTTCTAGACAGGGTAAGACAAAGGGTCTTTAAACTGAGACATACCAAACACAGATGAAAACAGTAAGTTAAAGGTTAGATAGAGAATGATGAGAACCTTCCAGCCATCTTCACCTATTTGACTCCCAGGTATATATCACTTAGGCAGAAGATTTGAAGATTCATCTCTGGGAAATCTTACCAGTCTAAGATGAAAGAAATAAAGATACCGATATCAGGGATTCTTCAAGGACATGGCCTACCCAGATTACCATAAAGTCCAGATTTCTAAGCTTTACTTGCTCAAAGATTCCAGTCAACTTTTTAGAGAATTAAAGAGCACTAAATTTCTGAGGAAAGACTTTTACATGAAATATAGATGCCAAAACCAACAAACAAAAAAATCAGCTTGAAAGATACAGAGTATGTGCAGGGAGAAGAAAACTTAATAGAAATCATCAATATCCAGTTTCATAGAAAGGTGAGGTACAGCTTCCATGAAACATGAAGAAGATACTATAAAAAGAAAAAAAAACAGTGAAAGAACTTTTGGAAGTTAAAAAAAGAAGCAGACATGAAAGACTTGATAGAGATGGAAGGTAAAGTTGAAGAAATCTAAAAAGAAGAGGAAAAAAGATAAAAGACAAATGAAGGATCACTCTAGGAAATACTTCATTCAAATGAGTCCCAGAAAGAGAAAACAAAAAATTTCCAAGAACTGAAGGACATTAGTTTCCAGATGAAATGGTTCAACAAGTATCAAGTACAGTGTTAAAAACAGACCCACACGAAGGCACACCATTATGAAACTTCCTATCATAGGAAACAAGGAGAATATGATCCAAACTTCCAGAGTCAAGGATAAAATAGGTCATAGGTAAAGGATCAGGAGTCAGAATAGCTTTGTAGTTCTCTAAAGCAATACTGGAAGCTAGTAGATGTGGATAATGCTTTCAAATTTTTGAAGGAAAATTATATCCAGATTAGAATGATACACCCAATCAAATTTTATGAACCAACTGTGAAAGTAGAATAAAGGCATTTTCAGACATTCAAAGTCTCGAAAAAATTTACCTCTCACATACCCTTTCTTAGAGCACTTTTATTCCAGATTTTTCTACCAAAGTAAGTGAACAGACCAAAAAAAGGAAGACATGGAATATAGGACATAGAAGAGATAAGAATGGAATCCCTGGGATGGAATCCCTACATAAAGGAGGATCCTGGGAAGGCAGCTGTACCAGGCACAGAGAGCAGCCAAACCATGTAGGACCAGAACAGAAGATTCTAGGAGAGAAAGCCTAAGATCGTCAATTCCACGAAGACAATTTCTACCCCATCCATCTACATTGCCCTATTTTTTTGATAAATGCATTTGGCTTTAGGATTAGGAAGGATCTTAGAGAACACATATTTTAAACACCTACTTTTATAGAAAAAGAAAATGAGGACGAGTGACTTCCCAAAGTTGCCAACTGGTCACGGTACAGCCAGCACCATGATCCAGGCTTCCTGTCTGTACTGTTTTCATTACAATGTGCTGCTCCTCCTACCTTAGGGATCATCCAGTTTATTGGTTCTTGACATTTTTTTTCCTTACCACATCCACCTTGAAGGATAAAGTACACTCCCATCATGAACAGTGGTTTATTCTAGAGGTGATTTTCAACCAGAAGACCTGGGACAAATCCACCCTGAGAGGAAGGGGAGGGAGTTAACATATCATAATCTCCAGCATTGGAAGTAGTTGGTAAAGCTCCCTTATTAGAATCAGCTTTCCCCTAACCTCATATTGAGAATGTCTGACTCAATCTAGCTTTTTTTTTTTTTCTTTAAAAGATATGCTTGCCCATGGTCACTTAAAGGCTCAGAACTTGTTTTCAAGTCTCATGCGTCCCACCCAGGATAGTACTCATTCCAATATATCATGCAGACTCCAGTAAGAAATTGTTATAAAAGGGATTCATATTTATTTCATGGTTACCTAATGGAAGCCCAGAGACCCCTTCCCAAATAAACAGTAGACTGGTTCCTCAGTACGTGGAGGAAGGGAGTGTAGAGGTTGTGGTTCTTAGTTCCATTGCTAACTTTCTGATACTGCTCAGAATCTCTGAAGGGGTGAGGGTAAAACACTGACCTGTTGAGTGTGAGTTCTCATCCTATATACATCCTTTAGATAGTCCTGGAGGCTCCTTGAATCCTTCCTTGGTTCTTAGAGGTAGCAAGCTCTTGAATATGATGTTGTTTTTTTTTAAATGACAGAATAAAAATAGTGAGCCAGGAGAAGGCAACGCATTTTTAGTGTATTTATGTAATGAGCTGTTCTCTTGTTGTGAAATAAAGACATGAAAGGGAAGAGGGAGAAATATCACCACAAAATCAAGTCAAACTTATTTTTGTATAAGTTCTGTTTTCTATTTTGCCTCTTTTATGTTTGCTTCTATTATATTGCATATTTTTCAATACATTTACTATCTTGGTATCTTTCATCTAAAGATTTAAAAGAAAAGATTTAATATCTTTTTTATTTTTTTGGAATTTGGAATTTTATTCCTGTTTTTTTGTGTTTTTTTGTTTTTGCTGAGGAAGATTCATCCTGAGCTAACATTGGTTGCCAATCTTCCTCTTTTTGTATGTGAGCCACCGCCACACCATGGCCACTGACAGACGAGTGGTGTCGGTCTCCGGTCAGCAACAGAACGTGGGCCACTGAAGTGGAGAGTGCCAAACTTAACCACTAGGCCACCAGGACTGGCCCCTAATATCTTTCATTTAAGACAAACAAAAGAAGTCTAAATGACAAATATATCAATTTTTGATGCAAATTGGAAAATGTGAGAGTAGGACTTGACATGGATAGGAGCAAGCATTATTGTCTTATTATATTATAAGAACCTGGGACCTGTGCAGCCTTAGAAAGTTATATCACCAGTGCTATGAACAGGGAAAGACTGAGCAATAAATGCATAGCAAGGATCATAAGTTCTTATTGACTCAAACTCTGTGTGTGTGTGTGTGTGTGTGTGTGTGTGTGTGTGTGTGTGTACTTGCTTATGTCTAGTGGCATGACAGTGCTTCAGGAAGCTTGGTAAGGTTTTATACTGTGTTTTGAATTCCCTGAAGAAACTTACCTTTGGAATTGTTAGTGGTAGAAGCAAATATCT